ATTTGTCTCATACCTTTCATTGGAGTCTAGCCAATCTTTTCACAACTTGAAGAATCCTCTCTACATTTTTGAAGATGGCTGCGTTTGTCATGTGGGACATACTTACAATTGTGAGCTACACATCAAATCAAAAACAGCATTCACTGATTTTCTACCTCTTGTTGTTGCACTTTCTTTGCTTCTTGCTGCAGCTATCCCTAGCTCTTTTGGGGGAGTCCTGATGATCTTCACAGTAATATTGAAAAACAAAAATTAAAGATATGAGGGGCTTCAAAAAGTTCATGAAAAAATAGAATTAAAACATAATGGAATTTCCCCACAAATTTATTGAAGACTCCTCATAATGCTACAACATTCAAGAGACACATGATACACAAGATTGGATACTGCTATCTGTGTAAGTTGAAGCTTACACTATTACAGGGTAAACTCTTAATTTGTAAGTAGGGCAAGTTCATATTAAAATAACCATAGAAATTATGGTACCATACATGCATAGAGCAGTAACATAGCCATTTATTACTACTATCAAGACATATGTATCATTGGTTATATATGTATCATATCATTATATGCCTAGGAGTGCACTTACTCTGCATAAAAGAGACACTTTGTGTGTGGGAAGTTGCTGCATTTCATATTCCTGGTTAAGTCTGATACACACCATTCTCCAATCAAGATTTCTGAACTTTATTAGGAGCCCTGGTGGTACAGTGGGTTGAACTTGGGGCTGCTAATTTCCAGGTCAGAGGTTCAAACCCAGCTGCTTCTCTGCAGGCGAAAGTTGAGGCTGTCTTTTCCCGTAAAGATTCAGTCTTGGAAACTCTAGGGAGCAGTTCTACTCTGTCCTTTAGGGTCATTGAGTCAGAATCGACTCAACATCAGTGGGGCATTGTGGTTGGATGTTGCCTAAATGGACATTATGCGGTGCATGAGTGTATATAGATTAAACCCAAAGACAGGCATGGGCAAAGGGTACAATACTCACATGCAACCGCGAAACTTAGTCAAGTCGTTATTCGGCTTCTCACACTCGATTATGCTGGTGAACATCAAGGGATTGAATTCAGAGACCTAAAATAACAGCACGCACACATTAGAGAAATCTGGTCCAGACAGTTCCATTCTAACAGGCACCAGGACAAAGAAGTCTCAGGGAGGAACTAGGCCCACGAGAATGACAATTAACATAGGCGCTTTCATTTTCTAACAGTGAATAATGACTAATACTTATATAATAAATGATAATTATTAGCATAGTAAGAGCTCTCAAATGTCTGTAGTTCTAATATAAAATAAGAGAATATGTGATATAGTGAAACTTTTAGGGATGAAGGCCTTTTCTGAGAAAGATTAGAACCTTCCAGTTTTCTGTACAGATTTGCAGAAACAAATTTAATCTGGGAAAAAAGAACTTATAAATATGATACCATTTCCCCTGTTATGCCAAATTCTTCATAGATATTTTATATAAAAAAAATTTGAAGAAGTTATTTGTAAGGCATTCTTCATTCGCTAAGATTTAAAAACAGAAGACATCTCACCAGAAAGACATTTATTTTGAGTTTTTCCACTGATATCTAGATAAAACAGTGTGTTGTATATGGTAGAAGCTCAGGCTTCATGGAAGAAGAGAGAGGAAAGGAAAAGATAGAAAGTAAGTCTTTAGCATAAATCTGACAAAACAAGCTTGTCTTACAGGAGAACTGTTCCACTGGATCTTCTTGGATGTAATTTTTATGAAAGCAGGTCACCAAGCCTCCTTTCTTCCACTGAGACACCTGGGTGGACTCAAATCATCATCCTTTAGGTTAGCAGCTGAGAGCAAATCACTTGTGCTACCCAGGACAATTAGTGTTTGTTTTGTTTTGTTAAATGACCTCTCTCTTCTCTACCCTGTCATTCTCTTTTCTCTATTGTTATAGTTGTTGTTAAGTGCCATGGAGTCAACCCATAGCGACCCTGTATAGGGTTTCTGAGGAGCAGCTGGTGAGCTTGAACCACCGACCTTGCAGTTCAAAAAGCTTTGCAGTCTGACGCATTAACTCACAGTGCCAAACCAAGTGTCACAAAAGAGAAAAAAGTGAAGTGTCTTTGCTCAGACAAGCATGTCATCACAAAAAAGCATAAAAATCACAGAAATGCCATAACATTGTTTATACTATTCCAAGTACTGACTGCTAGATCAAAACAACGCATTTCTCTGCACCTAAAGGAGCTCTGGTAGCGTAGTGGTTATGTATCAGGCTGCGAACAGCAAGGTCAGCAGTTTGAAATTACCAGCCGTTCCATGGGAGAAAGACGAGGCTTTCTGCCCCTGTAAAGATTTACAGCCTCGGAAACCCTGCACAGAGTCGCTATGAGTCGGATCCGACTTCACGGCACATAACAACAACAACAACAACAACAGCAACAACAATGAACTGCTAGGTCGGCAGTTCAAACTCACCAACTGCTCCTTGGAAACTCTATACAGGGTTGCTATGGGTCGGAACCGACTTGATGGCACTAACAACAACAAATGCACTTAGCAAAGTAATGACTCCAAATCTCAGTTTCACTGTTTCCCAGTGCACTGTGTACATTAAAAGAAGAGCTCACTGGAAAACAGCAGCTTGAGGCAATAACTGAAATTAGGTTCTTGGATGGCTGGTGTGGCACTGTTGGATAAGCACTGTAGAATAAGGTTGGTGGTTCAAACCCACCAGTTGCTTCTTGGAAACCCTATTAAGGGTCGCTGTGGTTGGGACCTACTCGATGCTACTTAGCAAGAATAGCAACAATAAATCAATAGGTTCTTGTTGAGTCTTAATTAGAAATCAGTCATTCTCTCCTTGAACTAAAATGGTCTCATGCTCTATTTCCAGAGTGAGGTTACGTTTCAAGGAATCGGGATTATTTAAAGTAGTGAGGATTATCTTGGAGCCAGTTCACTGTTTACTCAGGCAGATCTTCACAGATAGACTGTCCAGGAAGGCCACGGAGGTAGTGGGTTCCAGAGTACAGCAGGATTATTCTTGGCAGACATGAAGAGGAGACTCAAAGGATTCCGTCTCTGTTTATTATTCTTTCTCTCTGAGAAAATATGCTGTGCCTGGCTCTCAAATGGTAGGACATTTTGTCCCTGGAGCTTCATGACTGCATTTGTGGTATCGTGCCCACCAGCATGTGACACTAACAGTGTGCACAGGCAGGGCAGAGACACCACATAACAGGGGTGTGGACTAACCCAGCTCATAATGATGACTGAGGTAGGTGAACACAGGCATGTTGTGAACCCACAGGGCACACACAGGACATTGACTAACATAGAGCACTGGGGGGTTCCACCTAACTCTGAGTGGAAACTTCAGATGCATCTTCATCTCTGAAGACCATACAGTCACATACGGCCCGGTGAGAATGAGCCCTGAGCCCAGTAACCATATCCATGTCCTCAGGTCTTCTGCCTGCAGACAGGCAAGACCAGTGTTCCCACCCTCAGTTAGACACAGAAAACACAGCTCTGTAGTCTTATTGCCTTCTTAGGCTTATCACTGGCCCTGTAGGACCACAGTGATCTAAAAGGTCAACACAACCACATCAAGGATCCTACTTTAACAGTGTTTCGAGATTTCAGCTGCTACCCAAGGAGCTCTGGTAGCGTAGTGGTTACGAATCGGGCTGCGAACCTTAAGGTCAGCGGTTCGAAACTACCAGCCGCTCCGCGGGAGAAAGATGAGGCTTTCTACTCCCATAAGGATTTACACCCTCGGAAACCCTGTACAGGGTCGCTATGGGTTGGAACCGACTCGACGTCACTTAACAACAACAACAACAACAACAACCCAAGATGAAATCCTTTACCCAACTCACTGAGCTCACTTCACTGCTGCTGGCCTCCAAAGCACCCATTCCTGTCATCCAGGATGACGTGACCAGCCCAGCCCAACACCTTCCTGCACAGCTCTCCCATGCAACCCCACCCCGCTGTTGGGATGACTGCCTCTTGGATTGCACAATGTGATGCCCAGTGCCATCTTTTGTGGAAAAGCTTTCCTGCCAGTAGACCAGTATCTGCTCCTCTGCGCTTATCGGGCCCCTTGCAAACATCAAACTTCTTGTTTCCCTGGGCATGGCTGGTGCTGGTCCCTGAGCCTCCTTCCCATGATCACAGGTTCCCTGAGGACAAGAGTTCAATCCCTGAGACCCACACAGAGCTTGGCATGCACACAGCCAATGGCAATGGATTCTGTCATCAATCAGGTACCGCCTTGTCCCTACATGGGAAGATGATATGGCCAAGGAGGAGCTGGTAGTTCTGGAAAATACCCCTTCTCAGGTAGTCCAGAATGCACACCCCACTCTTATAAGTGGAAGCACACTTCCACTTGCTGGCATACAAATTAATTTCTTCACATCCCCTAATCTAGCTATTTATTTAGTGAAAATGGCTGTTTTTGATGCTGTGGAAATTCTACAAGGAGGTTAGTGGGGTGAGGGGGGCAGGCAATCCAACACTGAATGACAAAATGAATGAACTTTATTCATCAAAAGGTCCTATTGCCATATCAACATTTTCAGTCCACTCACCTAAAATAGAAAAGAAATACTGCCTGTCTTTCTCACCACAATGTCCCCTGGCACAAAGCAGGTCTACTCAAATCTTGTTTATTACGTGACTCGATACATGAATAAGCCTGTAGACATCCCTGTCCTCATGGTGGGAGACACCAACCAGTTAAGGGCTGTCAGTCAAAGCAGCATTTTCTCCACATTTGTACATAGAGTATTATACTGAGCAAATGCCCAGATAAAAACACTGGAGAGGAAGGATCACAAAACCCAGGTAAAGACCTACCTAATCTACAACGGAAAGTTGTGACTATCTTACGTAAGGTGTTACATTAGTAACATTATTAGTGGGAAGGACGGTGGCTCTGTATGATAAGCACTGAACTGGGAACCACAAGATCATATGGTGATATAGAGTAAGCACTGGACTGCTAACCACAAGGTTGGAGGTTCAAACCCACAAGCTGCTCCTCTGAGACCCTATATAGGGTCGCTATGAGTCAGCACCGACTTAACGCCACCACAAATATATTAGTACATAGTAGATTCTGAGCACATTATTTAAGGTATTCTAAGGAGCTCTGGTAGTGTAGTGGTTATGAATTGGGCTGTGAACCTGAAGGTCAGCAGTTCGAAACTACCAGCTGTTCTGCGGGAGAAAGATGAGGCTTTCTGCTCCTGTAAAGATTTACAACCTCGGAAACCCTATACAGGGTCTCTATGAGTTGGAACCGACTCCACGGCACACAACAACAACAACAATAACAACAAGGAGCTTTGGTAGCATAATGGTTACGAATCGGGCTGCTAACCTTAAGGCTGGCAGTTCGAAACTACCAGCCATGGGAGAAAGATGAGGCTTTCTGCTCTAGTAAAGATTTATAGCCTCAGAAACCCTGTGCAGGGTCTCTATGAGTCAGAACCGACTCCACAGCACTTAACAACAACAACAAGTACACCAGTATGTGACTGACAAATCTTGGTTGTAATATTTAAGGTGTTCTAAGTATATAAGCAATGGAGTCCTGGTATGGCTCTGTGGGTTAATGCGCCAGACTGCAAAGCCATTTAAACTGCAAGGTCAGCTGTTCAAGCTCACCAGCTGTTCCTCGGAAGCCCTATACAGGGTCGCTATGGGTCGGAACCCACTCGACGGCACTTCATATTGTATCACAAGCTCTGGTAGCGTAGTGGTTACGAGTAGGGCTACTAATCTCAAGGTCAACAGTTCAAAACTACCAGCAGTTCTGTAGGAGAAAGATGAGGCTTTCTGCTCCTGTAAAGATTTATAGCCTTGGAAACCTTGTAAAGGTCCCTATGAGTTGGAACTGGCTCCATGGCACATCACCATGTCATGTGGCACCTAACAACAACAAGAAGCATACAAGCTGGAGCATGGTGGCTCTGTACGATTAGCACTGGACTGCCTACAACAAGATCAGTGGTTTAAACCCTTCAGCTGCTCCATGGGAGGAGGAGGAAGCTGTCTGTTCCCACAAAGGTAACAGCCTTGAAAACCC